AGTCACTTCTTCCAAATGAACTCTCCACTGCCAGCATTCCTAGAAAATTATTTCCCTCAGCATCCAGTAAAGTAGTGTCCCTTTCAACATTCACAAATCCCTTAAAACCTGACTATGTTATCTGGCATGGGGGTCCCAAGGAACTTGGGAGATTTTGTGATAGTTTCCTTACTGGGTTAGTATCATCCTCTCCTGTTTTGTGTGTCTTTTAATAGTTATTTTTAGTGTGATTGTTTTATATATTTATAATTTTTAATCAAGTGCTATATGCTACCATACATTAACCAAAGAGAGAAGCATCCTAGAACTAAGGAGAAACTTCCTAGACAGTTAGAACAATTAACCAGTGGAACAACCTGCCTCCAGAAGCTGCCAGTGCTCCAACACTGGAAGTTTTTAAGAAGAGATTGGACAGTCATTTGTCTGAAATGATATAGGGCTGTGATGGCGAACCTTTTAGAGACCGAGTGGCTAAAACCCGTCCTGCCCCTGCCCCACCCTGCCATGTACCCTTCCCCACCCATCCCTACCCTGCCCCCCAACCCACCCACCCTCAGGGCCACTCAGCACCTCCAGTGCCTGCCACAGATTGCCCAGGCGGCCCAGCAGCGCCATGGCAGCTAGGCCTTGCAGCATCAACTCCATGCGACAGGGCGCGAAAGCGGAATCTTGACCCCGACAGGTTGCCATATCCTTGGCTGCACTGCTCCTTATGGGTGACTCTCCTGCAGGGGGGCTGCTGGTTAGGAGGGGGCTGTGAGGGGAGGCAGGCCTGGGGCAATGGCGTGTATGCCCACACGTGCCATAGGTTCGCCACTACTGGTATAGGGTTTCCTGCCTGAGGAGGGGGCTGAACTAGATGACCTCCAAGGTCCCTTCCAACTTTATCATCATCATTATGATAGATAGATAGATAGATAGATAGATAGATAGATAGATAGATAGATAGATAGATAGATAGATAGATAGAGTTATAAAACTCTAATTCCTGTAATTTTTAACTGGGATAAATGGTATACCATAAGGCAAAAGATTAAGGTCTTTCAAATGGGCTAACTGACAGAATTAAAAAGGAGAATCCAGGAGAAATTTACTGCTGTGAAATTGAAATTTGGTAAATGTTGTAAAACATTTATGATATAAACATCATAAAACAGTTTGTAACATAATACAACATATCATAAATAATTCCTATGCTAATATTTGTGTTGTACAGTTGAACATAAGCTATTTTCAACATGGGCAGATAACATTTCCCAAATGTATCCCAGTGAAGGCAATACATTAGAAGCTCTGTCACTACTGTTTAAGACATTGAGGAATCTGGTAAGGAAATATCTCTGAAAGAATGACCCAAAGGGTGACAGGTTGTCTAGTAAATAAATAAAACTACTAAGGGTAATTCCTGCTTAAGCCCACAGGCTTTCAAAAGCTATCTTTCATTTTGCACATCATAGTGGAAATAACCATATCCCAGTAGACATACATGTCTTTAGAGTCAAGGTCATTCAATGCCTCTTAGATGGAGGAAAAATTTGCTACTCTCATTACCCAAGTCCTATTACTGGTCTAACGTCTTTGTAGACCAGTGGTTCTCAACCTTTTTAATGCCGCGACCCCCCCCCAACAGGTTGTAAGTCGAGGACTACTCAACCGGTCGTAAGTCGAGGACTACTCAACTGGTGCAGCACCGTTTGCAGAATGGGACTTTTGTCGGGCTCAGCAGGGCAGAGACAGCCTGGACAATTCCTATTGGCTTTTGAAAGCCAATAGAATTAGACTCTATTCAGAGAATCTATTCTATTGGCTTTCAAAAGCCATAGAATAAAAGGGAGTAGCACAGCTAAGGAGAAGGGGGAAAAAATGGCGGACTGCGTTGTTTGGCGACCCCCGTGAAATGGTCGTTCGACCTCAAATGGGGTCCCGACCCACAGGTTGAGAACCACTGTTGTAGACTCATGTAATTATGTCTGCTAAAATCCTTGATTAAGTTAACACTTCTGTGATAATACCTATGTCTCTATGCTGTTGCTGAAAACAACTACATACCCACATTTTAAAAAAGGAGATCTTGGCCAATATATTGTTTTTCAATTTACTAGTTTATCTCCCTCTACTATTTACTATTTTAACTCTTACCCAGGAAGAACCTAGTTAAATTTGAAACATTAGGACTTTGACACCGATGTTCAATGAGATTTTTTTTTTTTTTTACAAAATTCCTGTTTGGTATGCCATGGATCTATTTGGAAGACAATTCTCTCATGCAAAATACTTAGTAAGCATCTTTAGTTCATCTCATGGGAGAGCCTTTACTTTTGCCCAATATAATATTTTGCTTTTGTCTGTTTTAGAAGATTTCAGATTGATCCAGTCCAGAATCAAAACAAAAATTTTGTTCATCATCCATGGTAGAAATGAAAAGTTTCACAAGGGTTCTGGTTTGCCCTTGTACATCACATGGTCCATTGAACTGATAAATCATTTTCTGACTCATAATCACACAAGATAGAAAAAAAGATTACATATTTCCTCTTAGGTTATACCTGAGTAAAAAACTTTTTTGTGTGTTTTGTCCTCTGACCTTAAATTAGATTTTAAAAAATAATAACAAATAATTTAATTCTTTATTAATTTCCTATTTTTCCTTGACTATATTGAAATTATTATTTTTGTCTTTTATTACAAATAAATTTTAATTTAGATGCCAAGAAAATACAGTAAGCATCATATATGTATATATACTGTATTATTTCTCACATTGGATTCCAAGTGTTCAATTCCATCAAATGAGGGATTATGGGCATATGTATCCCCAGTTATTCATAGATTGCAGAAATTTAACTGTTGTCAGCAAGAGCTTTTTTATGATTGAAAAAATATTTTTCTATTTTTGGAATCATGATATATTTTAACAAAATGCATAGAAGTAGAATCTACAATCAAATTTTTGTAAGATTCTAATCATGCCATTCTCTTTCCCTTATCTCTTCTTTTGCCTGTTTACTCAAGATATCTTCTCTTATGATTAGGGGACTGGAAGCTAAAACATATAAGGAATGGTTGCTGGAATTGGGTATGTCTAGTTTAATGAAGAGAAGGACGAGGGGGGACATGATAGCAGTGTTCCAATATTTCAGGGGCTGCCACAAAGAAGAGGGAGTCAAACTATTTTCCAAAGCACCTGAAGGCAGTAGAAGAAGCAATGAATGGAAACTAACCAAAGAAGCAGCCTAAAACTAAGGAGAAACTTCCTGACAGTTAGAACAATTAGCCAGTGGAACAACCTGCCTCCAGAAGCGGTGAATGCTCCAACACTGGAAGTTTTTTTTTATGAGCATATAAAGCTTGAATAATTTTTTATTTGCTATTCAGAGTTTGTAGTAATGCTAAATGTTGACTATACTGTTTGCCTGAGCATGTAATATCTATGTTTATAATATACATTTATTTCAGCACTGTTCCAAGAATAAATCAGTTTGTCTGGTTATAAGAAATATAAAACATATAAATATTCTTCTCAAAATAAATTAAAATCCTGAAAAACATTATTATCTTCTTGGCAAACAATTTGAAACAGACAGCCATTCCAAATAAAAGGATAAAGAAAACCAGAAACACAGTATTGGTCTATAAAACCTGATTAGGTTCTGATTAGAACTTGGGTAAGAGTAACAAAACTTTATTTAAATAATTATTTTATTTGGGAGCTGCCTAGAGTTGTCAGAAGATATAAATGTTTTAAATAAATAAATGAATATATTTTCAAAGTCACTATATCCGAAGGAGAGGAGTGATGTATAATAGAATTTTGCAATTTAAAGAATTATAAAAGACATATGAGGGTCACAATACTGATGGATAGCTTTAAGCTGTATCCTCTTCTAATAGAAAGTATGGTCCACCATTGATAAAAAATATAATTTCTGAAATGTTTTGCCCAATAACAGATCAATTTGCACAGGCAGTTTCTTATTAATGAACAACTTATGTATATATTAGCAAGATAGAGCAGGTAGAATGCATTTGAAAATATATGTGTGATTGTGGAGCTTACTTGTGAACAAAAACATCTGGTGGGAAAAAAAGGAGCAAGAGTTGGGATTTTGTAAAGAGACCAAGGGCTAAATTTACATTTCCAGAGGAATCTGGGAGGTAAATCAGATATGGATTATATCTATAGCTAAATCTCCTTCCTGGTTAGAATATGTTTTTTATCTACAGCCTGAACATAATTGGTTCTTGCTATAATGTTTGAAGTGCAAAATAATGGTGAGACTGGTAAACTGATCATGTAAATAGTCTTCAGGAAGAAGGGAAATATTTTAATTTGATTATACACATTCTAATTTTTTCCAATTACCCATTCTGTTTTACTATTCATTGTAGACCATTTTTGTACATTATATTAGCAATAGCACTTAGACTTATATACCAGTTCACAGTGCTTTACAGCCTTCTCTAAGCGGTTTACAGAGTCAGCATATTGCCCCCAACAAACTGGGTCCTCGTTTTACTGACCTCAAAAGGATGGGAGGATTCAAACTGCCAAATTGCTAGCAATCAGCAGTCACTTAATTCTTACCTCCAATAGCAACCCTGTTGTCCCTACCCCAGCATCTATGCAGAATTAATGGAAAGATCAGGTCTGAAATAATGCATACAATTATTCTTTTTTAATGATAGATCATGTAAGAAAGAAGAACAAAAACTATTCTTACAATATATTTGCTCATTTTGTTCTGTGATCAAAAAATGTATCTTCTAGGGAAAAACATTCAATTGTATTTTAATTTTTTTAGCTATAAAAATGGCCTAATCTCATGCTCTATTATACATTAACTAGTTGAGATTCATCCTTTTGTGTGGAAGTCCTGTTCATAATCACAGGCTGTAATTGTCATACATAATAAATACATATACATAGACTAGAATTGGCATATTTACTATGCTTGAAAGTATTATTTTTTTCTTACATTCAGGTTTTTTTCTCTGAACAGGTCAGCATAAAATCAAGTTCATTCCTGAGATGGTGGGGCCCATGTTAGAAATGACTTTGATTCCGGAAACTGAACTTAGAAAAGCTACAATTCCCATATTCTTTGATATGATGCAGTGTGAGTTTCATTCTACCAGAAGTTTTCAGATGGTAAGAATTGTTTTCTTTACAAAATGTGTTTGCTTTAATCAAGATGAATGTGAAAAACATGTTTAATATCGCTTGTTTAAAATAGACCTGCACAACTTGTAAATCCACAGTTGGATCTAGTAAACTCAATTTTGCTATGGAATTTTACTCCAGGGTTTTTTTGGGGAGGAGAGAGATAATATCATTGCCTCCCTACCCATGAATATCATGAAATTCAAGAGGGGATTGTTACTTCTGGGCAGGCCTGCTTTGACTGAGGGCTTTCAGACTCAGTTTTGTGCTTCTTCTGTTTTTCCAACTAGGAAAACAGCATTTGGAACACCTGAAGTCATGGTTTATAGGCAGTGGTGGGATTCAGCTGGTTCGCACCGGTTTGGTAGAACCGATAGCTATTTTTTTATTGACTTCAGTGAACCAGCTGATGCCCTAGCCCTTTTTTACAAGGCCCAGAATGGACTGCTGGAAGTATGTGGACGCCACTTCCGGAAGTCCGTTCTGCGCTGGGGAGGCATCCCAGGCCCAGAACGGCCCACCAGAAGTGCATGGATGCCACTTTCAGAAGTCCATTCCGAGCCTCAGAGGCCTGGGGGAGGCCTCCCGGCCCAGAACGGCCCCCTGGAGATGCATGGAAGTCACTTCTGGAAGTCAGAAACAGCCTTGAGATGGCTGTTTCTGAAAGGAACAGAGTGTTTAAAAGGTTAAGTGAGCTCTCTGGAGACTCTGAGAACTTAATTGTATAGAATAGCAATAGTATTTAAACTTATATACCACTTCACAGTGCTTTATAGCCCTTTCTATGTGGTTTACAGAGTCAGCATATTGCCCCCAACAATTTGGGTCCTCATTTGACTAACCTCGGAAGGATGGAAGGCTGAGTCAACTTGAGCCGGTCAGGATTGAACTCCTGTCAATGGACAAAATTAGTGTGAAATGAAAATGCATAGTACCCTGAATTGTCTTAGTCTAATAAAGTCACTAAAAAGGCTCCTTCTCTGAAGAACAGCTTTAACAGAGTTGGGATGGTTGGAGATTGTGTTTAATCTATTCTTGAAAGAAATGGGTTCTATTTATGCTGGCCAGAAAGCTGTTTTGGTGTATCAGTGCAGGATGCTGGATAAATGTTTCTTCTCTAAAACTGTAACTTTCCCCCCTTCAGATTCATCCTATCTTCAGTATCTTCTGTCAGGTTAAAATGATATAATCTCATTAATGATTTCTAAATATATAATGTATGAAATGACTGCTTCTTATTGTTTTACTTTGGTTTATAATTTTAGCAATACTGTCCGTTTTGTGTTTGTATACTTTTCATCTTTGAACTCTCTAGTAGTAAAGAAAATTTGAAAGAACAGCTGTGACATGGCCTAACATGTTTGTTTTTCTTTGGGATAATGTCATTTGAACAAATCATGGCCATGTGGTGATAGGAACCGATGTCATACTTGGGAAGGTCATACAGTCTGTGAACATAAAAATATGCTAGATAGATTCATAAATAATATTGGGCTTCCTTTTCTTAAGTATTTCTATTCTGTAAATAAAACATTAAGCACATCATTTTAGAGCTGTATTATTTTAAAAATAATTTACAAGAAATTTGATTTCTTTAATTCATGATTTTATGTTTAGTTTCTCTTAGGTTTTGCACATCTAAAATTTGCCTAGATTAAATAATTAGCAATTATGTTCTATATATAGATTGAAATAACTGTGAATTTTAATTGAATTAATGTTAAAAGGTTGTATGCTTGTTGTTCCAATGAAAAATGGCTCTTCTGTATTTGCATGGTTCACTTTGTGAAATTAATATAGATTGAATACTCTTGTTCAAAATTATAATTTAGTTTTACAATACAAACCAAATTATAACTTCAAGTATAGTACAGATCAAAATTTAAAGACCTAAATGCAAGATTTTACAGAAGAAACACATTTATTTCTTTCTAATTATTTATTTACTAAATTTGTTTGCCAGCCATCTTACCACAAAGTGACTCTGGGTGGCTTACAGTGTTAAAAAGAATAAAGCAATACAAAATACAACAATACAAAAACATGTATACAACAAGAATAAAACACTATAAAAATACAAATTATCAGCTATAACTAAAAGATGGGAAGGGAGGGGGTAGGATAAGTGGGGAAGGAGGGAGAAATGAGATCTGTTTTGAATTTATCAAGCACCTCCAATTTCTGACGCTCCCTCATTGGAACCCCAGCTGACTGGCAGAGCTAGGTCCTCAAGCTGTTGCGGAAGGTCAGGAGGATGGGAGCCAACCTCACTCTATGGGGCAAGATGTTCTAAAGGGCAGGCAGCTGGGATTTCCTATTCAAAAGGGCGCACAGCAAGCCTCCTCTGCCAGCATGGGTGGGACAGGTCAATCCTATTGGGATGAGATAGATCCTCAAGTAACTTAGACCCATGCCATGAAGCTTTAAAGGTAGCAACCAAGATCTTGAATTGTATCCAGAAGCACACCAGCAGCCAGTGCAGTTCAGGAAACAGCACTGTAACATGGGCTACTCTAGCCTGTGCAGCCACACTCTGCATGAGCTGTAGCTTCCAAATACACTTCAAGAGTAGCCCCATGTGTGGCAATATACAAAAGTGAGATGATTAGGGCTTGAATAACTGAGTGCAGTGACACCTGATCCAGGAAAGGCTACAATTGGCACACAATCTGAAGTTGCGCAAAGGCTCTCCTAGCTGTGACTATTACCTGCTCTTTGAGTAGGAGTTGCAAGTACAGGAAAATCCCCAGGTTGCAGATTGGATCTATGTAGTGCCACCCTATCCAGAACTAAAGATGTCAGAGTGCCAGATCTTGGGGCTCCACACACCCAAACCATTTGGTCTTGCCAGGGTTCAGCCAAAGCCTGTTGTGTCCTATCCCAGGCCCCCACAGCCTCCTGGCATGGCAAGAGCGCATCAACAGCTTCACCTATCTATATGTAGCAAAAGGTCAGGGCAGGCAAGTTATAGTGTTGAGATCTGAGGTCTGAGTAGCTGTGGAATAGGAGTTAGCCTCAAAAGAAACTAAAATACTGAAAAGTTCAAGCAAAGATATACATTTTTAGCTTTTCCTAATGAGGAACTGTCACTGAGTTAAACAGGGGCAGTTCATAGCCTTAGAAGAATTTTACTGCATATAACTAAGCTATTGTTGGGATATACTGTGTGTATTAGATGCTTTATACTGTATGAGGTAATCCTTACTTAAAAGTCACAACTGGGATTGGCATCTCCCATCACTAAGTGATAAAGTTATTAAGTGAGATGTCACAATTTGTGATTTTACTGCTGGCTTTTCCATTTATGCTACTTGTCAGAAGTTGTCTGTGAAGTGCACCAATGGCGATCACAGGATGCTGTCATAAGCATAAATCCCCACCAGTTGCAAGGTACCCCAATTTTCATTGTGTAACCACAGGGACACTGTAGCTGTCATAAGTGCAATGATTGTTTGTAAAGTTTATTTTTAAATGCTGGCATAACTTTCAACAGCTACTAAATAGGGCAGTTGGTGAGGGAGAACTACCTGGAGATAATATGAAAAGAAAGTTTTGCTAAAGAACATCACTGAGTAAAAGGATTTTGCCAATTTGTTTATTAATGTTATCTAATATATAGTATATACTTGAAATTAAAACATAGAAATAAGATACATCTTATTTCTAAATACCCATAAAATAAGAAAGAAAGATCACAAATAACTGTAAAAGAAACAAATGGATAATACATATGATTGCTAATGCAAAACTACTGATGCAAATAAAACACCTCTGGCTAAAGTTCTATTATAGAAAGCAGGTAATTGAGTTGAAGCTGCCAGCGAGAACAGAGGATATTTTTATTCACTTCTTACAGTTGACATTAAATTATAATATCAACAAGACAGCATTTTCTTATTAGTTGTCAGTTGGTGGTTTAACTTCTATTTTTAATAAAAAAATTAAAAATTGTCACTTGTGTTGTATAAAACAAAGCAGGGTAAAACATTTAGAAACCTTAAAGAAATACTATATAGTAATGTCCCAGCCAGACAATTTAGAAGTAAATGTAATTGAATTCAAGTTCGGTGATGGTGGTTGTCAAGCTCATAAATAGAAAGGCTACAGGACATCAAATCTGAATTTCACTCAGTGATCCATAAAGATATTACATTATACCAAAGGATCAATGCACAGATAACTCTCTAAGTAATCTAGTATTTTGGAGGCAAAGCCATGTGTGAGCTTCTTTTGAAATTCAGCTGTAATAAATTGTTGGCTACATAGCAGGGCATAGATACAAGAGACATAAGAGCTTCAATTGAACAACTTTTCGAGGAGCCACTTTACAACATTTGGAGGCCTACATACTATTGATCAAGTAGTTACAATTGCTTTATATATCCTAATTGCTGCCAGGAATTGCTGCCATGTTTATTATGATGGTGAGTAGCAAATTGTAAACTGGAATTCACAAACGACCCCCACAACAAGGTGGTTCTTGTTTGTCTTTTTAGGATGTTGAGGTAGAAAAGAGACACTGAGATGTTTGAATGCCTTCGTTTAAATAATACTGATGACTTTCATTTTCCAAGGGTGATAGAGAGTTTTAGAGAATAAAACTACTTTGGTTTTATCAGAACTGGTGATGAGGCCTTTCTCTCCACTAAAAAGCAAGATTTCTGAGGCACTGTTTCAGGCTCATTAAAATATAGGTGAGATAGCTGAGTCATCTACATACAATAAAATAGTTCTACTAATCAAAATGTAGAGGAAAATCTGATTTTGACAGGTCTTTCACTAAACACAGTTGATGTACAAATTAAAAAAGAAGGTTCCAGAAATAAACACAACTTCACTCCTTTCTGAATAGGTAGGGAAGGGATACCCTTGAATGCCACATCAAACTTGCACTATATTGTTCTCATGGAGTTAAGTAATTAAATATAGACACATCTGTCAGTGAAAGAGGCAATCAATTTCTTCCTGGACCTGTTTCTGAGGACTGC